TATACACAGCAGCGGTGAGCTGTGAGGCACCCTGGCTTTGGGGGCCCAAACTAGCCAGCTTTCCCCTTCTGGAGCTGCTGACCTAATTCCCAGATGCAGCTGCCACCTTAGGTCCCCCTCCCCAAGGCAGTCTCCCTGCAGATTTGACAGTAGGGGGAGATGGGCCTGAGGGACATGGGGAGAAGCAGAGAAAGGACTCAGATCTAATGCTGTAATCTGATGTAGATGATCCAGAAGGCTTCCTAGCTTCACTGCCCTCTACCATCAACTCTCCAGGTGATTTTCTCAGTGCCATGCACTCTTCCCCTTCTGCCTTTGTCTCCTTAAGAAAGTAACCAGAAACTTAAACCCAGACACACAAATACACACAAGCCACAAAAAAAAAAAAAAAAAAAAAAAAAAAAAAATAAATGTCTTGGAGGCAAAGGGGACTAATGAGAAAGTAAGGGAGCACGCGCACTCTGGAGAGGGCTCAGCTCTGTCCTAGAGGAAGAGCAACATAGGCAGAGGGAGGCTGGGGTTGGCAGTGACCCAGACTGAGGTCTCCTAGCCCCCAGGAGCCTCCTTTATGGACCCAGAGATCCTGAGAGGGGCTGTGTCAGCTTAGGATGGGCAACTGTGTCAAGTCACCACTAAGAAACCTCTCAAGGAAGGTATGTTTCCCCAGTTCCCAAAGCCTGGGGTTGGGGTTGGGGGCATCTTACCACCTGTCCTGAAAGTTGGGCATGGAGGGGGGTGGGCATCTGAAGCTTGCTATCCTTCCCAGGGTGTCTTTCCAAAGCTCTTTTTCTGTTCCCACCCCCTAGATACCCTTGTATCACAGTTTCTTGTGTCCTAGGCTCTGAGCTAAAGTTAGGACTTAGAGCTGCCTGGAGGGGGAAGGGGGTCATAGGGTAAGGGGAGACCATGTTTGGGAATTCACATGAGAGCTGAAAAAGAAATTATGTGACTTTGGGGCTTCTGGTTGTAAAATGAAAAGCATGGGTACTTAGGATATCAGTGTATAGCTACCCTGGAACTTTAAAGGATTAGAGATCCTTCCAACAGGCCCCAGGGCTTATTCATATTCCTAGAGGGTCTGTGCCTCCTCTCTGGTGCTATCTAAGCCTTGTGGGTTTTGAAGGAACTCCATTCCTGCTGGAAGGAGCCAAGCAAAATATTCCCTTCCTTCTACCCACAGTAATTCTTGGGTCAGGTCATGGAACACCAAGAAGTAGCCTGACTTAGGGCTCAGGATGATTTCCTTTTAGAAATAGGGTGCCCAAGAGATGTGTGTGTCAGGGGTATATTAAGTGTCACTTCATGGAGTGGATTTATGCTTACACACTTGGATCATTTAGTTGTTATTGCTGTAAGAATTCCTTTGGAAAAGCAAAGTGAAGGTCTGGGTTGCATCTGAAGAGTCTTTGCTTCAAGTGGGCTCTGTCTATATTTCTAGCCGTCTTAAGTCAGGCCATAGAAGAGACTAATGTGTTATTTAAAGGATGTTTGCCTCCAGTGTTAACATTTTTCAAACAAGGAACGTGATTGTCATTTGGGGCAATTGCCTGGCATTGTGACACCCCCCAAGATCTCCAATTGACTGGTAGTGCCTTCATCCCAGTCCCATCTCATCTTCCCCATCAGGTTTATGATCTCTCAATTTAGGACACTTGGGGCTTTTCTGCCTGTCTCCTTCCTCATTTGGCTAAGCTGCTCACATTAAATTCCATTTAATCTTCACAGTTCCTTGGATCTTTCTGAGGGCTAATGTTTCTATTGTGTGTCCCCAGTGCCTCATAAGCTGTCATTTTCTTAGGGGAGTCTTCTGCCTCAGAGGTGATTCAGAGAGGCAGAAACTGATCTGAATTAGTCTGGAGGACCACAGGCAAATGTCTTCATAGTAGGCTGTGTTCCTAGCCTGAGGAGGTGAACTTAAGAACAAGCACCGTCCTCTCTTTGTTCCTTCTTTTCTTAAGCAGCAGAGTGCTTCAGTCAGACAACTCAGGTCTTCCCTTTCCAGCCACCTGACCTCAAGCAACTCACTTAACCTGTCTGTACCTTTGTTAATTGAGAACACTAATGTCCCTCCTCTTTTAATGTGTGTGTTGGTAAGGATCAAACTCAGGCTCTTAAGATATTCAGCACACACTCTCCCACTGAGCTCCCCCCCCCCAATATCTAGCTCTTTTATTTTGTTTTGTTTTATTCTTATTTGAAAAAACAAACAAACAAACAAAACAAGTTCTCAATGGACATGGTGGCACACGCCTTTAATCCTAGCACTCAGGAGGCAGAGGCAGGTGAATCTCTGTGAGTTCAAAGCCAGCTTGGTCTACATAGTGAGTTCCAGGCAGGCTGGCGCTACAGGGAGAACCTGTCTCAAAATGTCCAAAAAAACCAAGCTCACTCTGTAGCCTAGGCTGGATTCGAACTCACAGTGATTTTCCTATCTCACCATCTTGAGTATTAGGGTGTCATTTCAGGTGTAAGCCAGTACACCCAGGCCCTAATATTTTACTTATTTAACTCTTGTTTTGAGACAGGGTGTCTTTGTAGCCCCAGCTGACCTGGAACTCGCTATGTAGACCAGGCTGGCCTCTATCTCACAGAGATCTGCCTGCCTCTGCCTCTAAAGTTCTGAGGTTAAAGGTGTATGCCACCATGACTGACCCTTCAGTGCACGCCTTTAATCCCAGCACTCGGGAGGCAGAGGCAGGTGGCTCTCTGTGAATTCAAGGCCAGCCTGGTCTACATAGTGAGTTCCAGGACAGCTGGGGCTACAGGGAGACCCTGTCTCAAAAAGACAAAAAGAAAAAAATTAACTATTAACATGATTGTGTGCTATGCACAATGCCAGACATATAGTACTGGATAGATACTGGTATTGTTATCATCATAACACTGTGGGCTTTAGTGATAAAGAATGGAGTACAAAGAAAACTAGAACAGATTATTATTATTATTATTATTATTATTATTATTATGTTTTTGAGAAAAAGTCTCTCTGTGTAGTCCAGGCTGGCTTTGAACTTAAGATCCTCCTGCTTTAGCGATCAATGTTGGAATTACAAGTGTGAGCTACCACACAGTTAAGAGAACTTATTGTTATTTTTGGTACTAGGATAAAACCCAAAGCTTCATGCATGCTAAGCACATTCCTCTATTGCTGAGCCATTCCCCCAGCTGGAGAGGTTCTGAGTCCACTGGATAAGATAAAGGATCATAAAGCTTACTGCACTGGATGTCATATTTCTTAGGAATAATTTCTCTTTCTGGACTCTATATCAGATATCAGTGATCTCTCTTGCTCTTTTCCACTAAATAGTTTTCTAGGCTAGTTTACAGAGAAGGGAGCCAGGCACAGAGATAAGAGTCTTTCTGAAGTCAGATAGTCAATAGCAAACAGAGTTGGGATTTAGAGCCTGAACCAGTCAGAACCAGTATTTTATTTATGCTTTTCCTCTGCCTTTTTCTTTCTCCTGCTGTCAGAAATATTATTCGTAAATTCCTGAATCTGACCTTCGAGATTATCTAGTCCAAGTTTCTACTCTGTGCAGCAAAATGCCCTCTCCCATCTCACTAAGGACACATCCTTCATGTCCTCTGTGAGCACCCACAGGAGAGGGAGATTTGACCTGTGTGTTCTTGGCAAGCTTGTGCTGTTATAGAGCCAGAAGGCCATGAGGTTCTCCTCTAATACACCAGCCTCTCCTTTTTCCAGGCCATACCTAGGACACATTCCTTGGGTGCCAGGAGACATTGTGGGCCCTTGGCTCAGCTTTGAGTGGTAGCTGGGGGACTGAAAATGGTGATAGGGCCAGACCAGGCTGTCAGGTGCTGTTATCATTGGTTGGATAAGAATGGCATCCTCCTAGGGCAACTTGGTGCCAGACAGAGTTATGATCAAGAGATGCAGTGGAAATTTACCAGCCACCACTAGTTCGTTCTTCGTGGGAGCAAATTCCTCTCCACCCTTCTCATTTCTTCCCTGATTGGCAGTTGTTCCTCCACTTCCTTGGGAGCCAGAAGCAAATGCCTTCTGGCACCCAACGTCTCTTAACTTGTATCATCACCACCACCACCATCATCATTGTCATCATCATCATTGTCATCACTATGGCAACTGCATTTATTTGGCTCTTACTGTGTTCTAGTCACTATACAAAGCAATTTATAAATGATAGCTCATTTATTGTTAACAAGAATCTTGGGAGTAGAGGTGATTATTCCCAGTGTACAAAGGACACTGGAGCACAGAGAGATGAAGTGACTTGCACAAGGTCACACAGCAAGCAAATGGCAGAACCAGAGCTTGTCCCCAAGATAGTGTCCAACGCCAACATGCTAAACCTTCTCAGAGTTCTGTGCCACCTGCTGCCTCCTCCCAGAATTCTGTTCATCCTGAGATCCAGCTAGGAGCAAAAAGTCTATTGTTCTACAAACATCTCCAGTCAAATTGTTGCCCACAGTCAGGCCACTGCCCATTTTCAAGTTTTCTTTGAGCCTCTTCTGGAAGGGACGTTCTCTCTAGCTCCAGCCTAAATTCAGAAGTCTGAGTGTTGTAGAGATTCGTCTCTGGGACATCAAGCCAGCACATGCCCTGATCTGTCTGATGTCCCTAGTGTTCTGAGATTTCCTAAAACCACCCCTGAGCTTTGGTCTGAGTTCATTCACCTTCGATCTGAGTCATTTCTTCCCCTTTGAGGAACCAAAATACTGTTCCTTCCTCTTCAGACCTGGAAGGGGCTTAGGATTTTGGAAAGGGTCAGAAGTGAGTCTCCATCAACAGCTCTGCTATGGAGAGCTTTAGAGGAGAAGTGTGAGAGGACAGGGAGGGGTGGTTCTAACAGAACACCTGTCCCTGAGTCTAGATGTGACTTTCATTTAGCTGGAGGCAGCAGGGTAGAAGACTAGCTGAGATGGAAGGCTGTGCAGCTCTCTCTCAGACAGACAACCCTCTTGGGAGTCTACGTACTCAGTCTCTCCTTGGGAAAGTTCTGTTGCAGGTCCTCACACTGAGGAGAGGCTGTGTTTTCAGGGCAGAGTGCTGTGACCTGGATTCTAGAGAGGCACTGGGCATGCTGGGGAAGGTTGGGTCCAGCCACATGTTGTGTCTGGATGCTGCTAATGTCCTAAGGGGAAGGTCTGTGGGCAGTGCTGACTTTTTATAGCTATGTGGGAATCTGTAGGGAGGCTGAAAGGCTGGCTAAGGCCTGGGAGCCTGGCTATATTCGGTCAGCTGACAAGGCCCCTGCCTCAGCCTCTAGAGGTCAGGCATTCCAAACCAGCCTGGGCATGGAGCCGGGAAAAATGGAAGGGAAAAAAGAATTGCTGGAAGACTATATAATAGTGCAGTCACAAACAGGTGGAATTTGGTACTTGTTTGACCCACCTGGTGCTTTAAATCAGATCTCACATCTGTGGGCTGGAGCTCAGTAAGTGGTGTTGCCCACTTAGAGTGGGCATACAGCATCCATTTTGCCCCAGTGGCCTACCTCTCACACATTGCTTGCCTCATCTGTCAGCAATGGCATCTATGTTCACAATTTCCTGTCCAACAGACTTGCTGAGCTTGTTCTGTGTTGACAGCTCTGATTTCTCTCCCAGGCTTCCAGTGAGGATCCAGCTAGGGTAGGGTCTGTGTCCACGAGAGAGCGTGGGAGACATGGTGTAGTTCCTGGGGTTGAGCTGGGACACTGGGAGCATTTTGGGAAAAAGACATGATTCTGTGACGCTCTGAGAGAAAATTTCTTATTGGTTAGGACAGAAGCCTCATTCTGTCTGCTTAACTCTCCAGGCTTCTGTATGCACATGAGTATGTGGTTCTATGAATTTGTATGTGTCGATCTGCATGTGTGTGTATGTATGTGTGCATGTGTGCATGTGTGTGCATGAAGGTGCACATTCATATACATGCCCTGTGGTATGCATCATACCCAGCTCTTCCTGGAACTATTTCATCTGAGAATTGGTGTCTCCATCAGTTGGCTCAATTAGACGCCCACCTTTGTGTAACCTAAGACTCTCAGAACTCCACCACTTGACTCTCAAGGATCCTCTCTTGAGGAATCCCTCTTCTAGAATCAACATCCAGGCTGGGGCTGGAAGGACCCAGATGAGCAGGGAGATGACGTCCTGCCTCTCTTTTGTATTTGCTTGGTGCTGGCTAAAGATGCGCCAGGAAGAGAAGAACAGCTACATGGTGGTGCAGACAAGCGAGGAGGGGCTGGCAGCCAGTGGTGAGCTCCCCGGACCACTCCTGATGCTGGCCCAGAACTGTGCTGTCATGCACAACCTGCTGGGCCCGGCCTGCATTTTTCTGCGCAAGGGTTTCGCTGAGAACAGGCAACCTGTACGTAAGTTGGCCCAGTGAAGTCCGCTGAGCCTGGCTTCATAGGGCTTGAGGAGGTACTGGGAAGAAGAGGGGTTCTGTACATAGCAGCCTGTTCTCAGAACCCCAACTTGTGAATCTTATCCTTGAAGTCTCCTACTCATAGTTGCAAAGTGAGTCTGTATCAACCAGCAAGAAACAATATAAGCAGGGACTGGGGATATGGCTCAGTCAGTATAGTGCTTGCTATGCAAGCATGGGGACCTGAGTTCAGTCCTCAGCACCACTTAAAAAGTTGGGCATGCCGGGCATGGTTGCAGATGCCTTTAATCCCAGAAACCAGGAGGCAGAAGCAGGTAGCTTTCCATAAGATCAAGGTCAACCTGGTCTACATAGTTGTAGACCAACTGGGGCTATAGGGAGATCCTATCTCACAAACAACCCTGTCCCCCTAAAAGTCTGGGCATGGTGGTAGATGTTTGTAATCTCAGAGCTGGGGAGTCAGAGACAGGAAGATCCTTGGGGCTCACTGACCAGCTAGCCTAGCCTAAAACCAGTGAGCCCCAGGGCTCAGAGAGACTTTGTATCAAAAAAAAAAAAAAATAAGGTGGATGACTCCTGAGGAAGAAAACCTGAGGTTGACCTCTATCCTCTGTTCCCACACAGTCCTTACATACACACACACACACACACACACACACGCACATCCCCTCCATCGATACATAAATAAAATTCTTTGGGGCATTTAAAGTGTGTCCAACACTATTCTGAGGCAATCAATACAATGATAAGTGTGTTGCTGAATTACCTCACACAAGTCTCAGCAATTCCAAGAGAGAGGTACTTTATCATCCCCATTTTGCAGGTAGGGAAACTGGGTCTGAGTGCTAGCACATTTGAGGTAACACTAGTAGGTCTCAGAGGCAGCATTCAAACTCAGTCTGATTCTGGGATTTTGTGCTCTTACCAGCAATCCTGTGCATACAGGATGGTCTACTAGTGCTTCTTGGAATGATGGAAATGGTCTAAACTCTGTGATGTCCAATGTCGTAGCCACCAATCACATGTGGCAATTGACCACTTGGAATGTGACTAATGAAACTAAGGAACCAAATTATTAATTTTGTATTACTTTAGTTTTAAAAATTGTCTTTGGGGCTGCAAAGATGGCTTAGCAATTAAGAGCATTGGCTGCTCTTGCAGAGGACCTGGGTTTGAGTCCCAGCACCCACATGGCAGCTAACAACTGTTCATAACTTCAGTTCCAGGGGATTCGATGCCCTATTCAGGTATTTCATGACACGGGTGCACTTATATACATGCAGGCAAATCAGACATACACATAAAGTGAAAATAAATAAAAAATAATCAAATAGGGGCTGGAGAGATGGCTCAGTGGTTAAGAGCACTGACTGCTCTT